GCTGACATGGTCCATTAGTTCCTTGGACTAATTCTTTCCATGTGTCTTTGGTTTTCATCATTCTTCTTTGCTCTGGACAAGGACAGACCAATTGTTGCATCTTAGACAGCTGCTTGCAGCTTTTAAGGCCACAGATGCTACTCACCAGAGTAGGATGCAGAACAATGTTTTTGTGTAGTATGTTATGCCAATTGAGCTTGATGTCCCCTACTACCATGGTCCTGAGCCCACCAGTCCAAGTTTCCTTTTTCTATTACCAACTTAGCAATTCTTTCTAATTGGTGTTAATTTTCTCTGGTGTGAGACTTCCGTTTCCATGCAAGATGGTGCAACAGGGACTGAATTTATCCTTTAACCTGAAACAACTAAAAAGCTCTGGCAAAATATATAATGTATGGTTTTCAGGACACTGGAAGTCAGGTAATGAAGGGCAGTGATCCCCGAGAGAAGGGCAACAGTGGACATGAGCTGTACCCATTGCTGCAGCTTCCTGCTGGAGTTTTCAGGTTGTGGTGCAGGAGGGAGGTCCAGGCAGAGCCTAGGGGTTCTCCTTGAGATGCAGAAATGGAGCTGGGAGTAAGCCAAAAGTGGCTAAAGTATGCAGGGATGAGTACTGGAGAGGAGAGAATCTTTTTTTGGAAAGACACAAAGATGATAAAAATGCAAATGAAATACTTCAAGCAAATATTTGAAAACTGGCATCTGAATAAGGATTTTTGCCTATACCATATAAAGAACTCTTAATGCTCAATAACAATAATCCAATGAAATTGGACAAAAGATTTGAACAGAGGCTTTATCAATGAAAAATTATATATTGCAAATAAGCACTTAATAAACATAAAATATAAATATTCATTAGGGAAACAAATTAAAACTGCAATGAGATACTACAACACACCTATTTGAATGTCTGAATTTTGAAGACTGATCATATCAGTGTTAGGATGTGGATACACTGGCACTCTCATGCACTACTGGTGGGAATGTAAATTGATACAACTACTTGGGGAAAAGTTTGTCAGTTTCTTTAAAAATTAAACATACACCTAACATACAACCCAGTCACTTTACACCCAAGAGAAATGAAAGCATATGGTCACACAAAGACTTGCAAGGGAAGGCTCATAGCATCTTTATTTGTAATAGACAAAAACTAGATACAACCCAAATGTCCATCTACAGGTGAATGGATAAACAAATTGTGGTATATATGCATACTATGGAATATTGCTCTGCAAAAAGGAGGAACGATCTGTTACATTTAACAAAATAGATTAATCTCAAAATAATTATACTGAGTGAAAGAATCCAGACAAAAAAACAGTACATACGGTATGATTTCATTTATGCAACATTCTAGAAAATGAAAACTAGTCTATAATGACAGAAAGCAGATCAATGGCTGCTTGGGGATGGCAAGGGTGTCAGAGGATCTGTAAAGGAATTAGTTTTGGGGGTGTGGTATATTTACAATCTCGATATGTCCCTCAATAAAAGTGTTAAAAGTTGAAAAAATGAAACAAAAACCAGGACGGTGTTAGTATGATGCTGGCAGACAAAACTGTACAAATATTCCCTTTAGCAGCAAACAAAGTTATTTCTCTCCTACTTCTACTGTGTTGGACTGTACTCTCAACAGAGTAGCTTTCATCTTGGGACAACCAATCCCAACTCTAGGTCATAGGGAATACTTGTTAACTTCCTTCTGTGTAGTCCATATGTGTGCAGACAGGAAGGACTAGAGTTCACAGTCATAACCCTGGAATGGAAAAGGAGAGACGGGTGATGGGATTTCCGTTTGGTGAGGGCCAAGAATGAAGGAGACAGGAAGAGCCTACACTGGTTGAATCCAAAGATTATTGGCCATTTTATCACCCTATTATCATATAAGGGAAGGAATGAAAACATAAATGTGCACATTTACATACAGTTGAAAAAAGGGTAAGTGCATTTAGTCTAGGGTCAGTCAGCAACAGAGTAAGTAACATTCTGAACACAAAATTGGAGCTTTCTGGATACTGGAGAAGGCATGCTACCATGGCTGAAAAATATGTGTCGTGGCAGGGCAGAAGGATGTGACCTTCCTTGTTTGGCAGGCTCTCTCCCTTCCCTGTATCAGAAGTCTTTGTGTAATCAAGGTCATTTCCAGAAAGAACACTGAAAGTGAGACTTTCTGGTAGAATTAAAGACTTAAGAACAGGTTGTGTAGTTCACCAAGGCCCATTGAGGTAGTGACTTTGCCTGTGGGAAGCAAGGGCCCCCTTCTCCTCCTATTTTTCATTACTATACTGAGATAGTATAGTATAGTATATATTGGGATTATTCATAGGGTGGATAGTGTGCATATAAATTGGTTAAATCATAAAGTTTTCTTAAGTGGCCACTGAGTTAGGTTTTCACTTTTTCAAAGTAGAAAAGGCTTGATATCTGCACAGAACTAAGAAGTAATGGAAATTCAGTGGCCAAAGATGCTTCACTTAATGAATGACTGGTTTTGCATTATTAGTATGGGCAGGTTTACAAGAAGAGCATTAGAGAAGTATTATTTTAGTAGGGACTTTTTTTTTTTTTTTTAAGAGAATCAGGTTATGACCCCAAATGATGGCATTAACTATTATTGATTTGTAGAATTTTAACTTAAAAAAATGCTTACAAGAGCAAAATCACCAGAGATATTTATATATGTGCGTGTCCGTGTCCTTTAGCTCACCAGACACAAACACATAACCTGGGAGAGCACCACCTGAGTTTTGCCATGATCAGGACACATAAATCAAAATAACAACATACAAGATGATTCACAATTAAATCAAGTTTTTTTTAATCCCGAATCCATGAATTTATGCATAAAAATAGGATGAGTGGTGCAACGTAAGGAAAAGGCACCATAAATATGTCTGCTTTAGTTTTAAAGAATTGAAAAGTGAATGACATTCTTTGAAAATATGTTTCTAGATAGCTACATCATTTAACCATTCTACTATCCAATATTTAGATTCTCTAATAGATGGGGCAATCTACTACCATAGTGATACTGCCTTGGAAACCCAAGCAGGGGTCGCTATGAGTTGGGTCTGACTCGACAGCACATAACAACAACACAATACTTTGTTTTCATAAAGTCTCAAAGATAATTGGTTTTGGTATTTGGTACATACACTATATATGCCAAATATATTTAATACCAAAGATAACTATATAAATCTTTGGCCATATGTCTGATTATTGTTTTAGGATAAATGGCTAGTGGCAGATTACTATTCAGTGAAATTTGAACTTTTTAAAGGCTTTTTGTACAGTTGTGAAATTTGCTCTCCAGAGGTGGCTGACCTCTCTTGAATCTCTAATGGGCTTTAATATAAAGCATTGACAGAGAACTTTTACAAAATTTGAATGCCAGACATGACAACATTTTACAAAAATGAATACGGCACCTGTTAGGAGACTATACTACTTTGCCAGACATGGTTATGTGCTTAGAGACATTACTTTCAACCTAATCAATAAAATAGGGCAAAACGGCCAAATATCTTGCCTAAGGTCATATGGCTTGTAAAACAAGGACCCAAGAATCAAACATTGCCTTCTGATTTCAAAATTCATTTTCTTTTCATCATACTATTCTAACCCAAGAGCCTAAATTATTTTTGAGATTTGAAACGAATATACGGAAGGAAAGAAATATTAAGTGAGCTGGAAGTGGTAGAGAGCAGATGGACCATTAAAAAGCATATTAAGTCTTAGTTAAAAGAAGCACAAACTGACAAAACAGTGTTAGAAGGGCATTTTAACCAACGAGCATTTATTAAAAGCCAGTGGTGCACCAGGCACAGTTCTTGCCCAGTAGGCTAACAAATAAAAATGATGTAACCAACTCACTTATTAGCTTATTTGATTAAACAAAATACATTTCATAGAAATGATTATAAAATGCATTACAGATAGAAAAGAGAGTATCTTTTTATACTTAATAGATTTTATGGTATCCTAAATAATTATTAATAAAAACCAGCCAACCTATATTATAAATAGAAGTTAGCAAACACCAGTTATTTATTTTAGGCAGCAAAGGAGAAAAACATACTACCTACCATTGTGCTGAAATGGATTTCAGCATTCAATAAAGCATCCTGTTTTAAAACTGATAACACAGTCTACCTATAATCTTAAAAAAATTCAATGTTTTTCATCCTTTATTAAATCACTATTATACTTTTTGGTTTAAAGATTAGTTTTGGTTTCAACCTAAGTTTAATTTAGTACTTCAGTCCCATGCTTCACAGATTTCTCACCTGGGGTGTGTGAGAATCACTCCAATTAGGCATTAGTCAGAGTTCTAAGACAAAATAAAACATAAATGGGATAGTTTAATTCAGTGATATTCTTGTCAATACTGAATGGAGAAGTTAAGATACACAGATGATTTAAACCAGAAAATAACAGCAGGAGAGGAAAAAAAAAGTGGAGGTTATTTGTTTGAATCCAGCCTGCCCATCAGAGTCACTTATTGCTTTTTCTGGAGAGTCATGGCTACTTCTTTAAAGGAGCTTATTAGGTGCACAGGTACAGGACATACTCCTTAGTCTGAAGGAGAGTTATGAGGGGGAGAAAGGAGAGAAAAGAAGCTGGCAAAGACTGAAAAGGCATGGCGTGGAGTGTGTTTGCTTACACCTTCTCAATTATTGCTGAAGTGTAATCACACAAGAGAGAGTCAGTCCACTGGGACCTTTCTGGAGACTTTCAGAAAACTGCTTTGTTCAAGTGGCAGAAGTGATAACATCTTCAGAGAGTCAAGGTCAACATTTATTGCACAGGAACCAAGATTATTTTCCTTCCTCCCTTTTCTTGAGCTTAAGCCCTCCCAGCACGAATGTGGCTTTGGATTCCTGTCCATGAGCTCCTCCGACCAGCAGGGGGCTCTCCACCAGAACACCTCAGGCAGCACCTTCTTCAAACGGAAGTGTGAGGTATTATGTTGGCCCAAGCAACCAGGTCAGTCAGTCCCCATTCTCAAGCAGCTTTTGTAAGTTGTTTTGTATCTTGAATAATAAAAGAGAAGCTCCTATTATTAAATAAGATGGGGCACTTTAAGGGCATATTTGCTATGGACAATACAATGCTTGTGATTAATCTATTCTGCCTTGAATAAAAAGCTACCAAACCCACTGCCATCAAGTCAATTCCAACTCATAATAAGTAGAACTGCCCCATAGGGTTTCCAAGGCTGTACATATTTTTGGAAGCAGACAGCCATATCTTTCTCCCTTGGGAAAAGCTACATGTCAGTTAATTTTAGATGAGGCAGATAAATGTTTTTAAATGGAACAGAACTCTAGTTGATAATCCATTTTAAAATGAGAAAAAATAGGATTAAAAAAAGGGCGGGTTGCACAGAGATGAAAATGTCAGTAAAGATTTGAAAGAAATGAGACTGAAGAAAAAGAACGAAGTATTAGCTTTGCATCAAGTATGATGCAAATCCACTCTGAGATAATGTGAAATTCCTCTTTACAGTGCCCATTCAATGATTTTAATCAAACACCATATAATAATGTCTAACACTGCTATGAGACATCATACATTTTTCTATAAGACTCTGAAATTCACAGGGATAGGGATCACACCATATCTTCAGATGTCAAGAATATAGTCCATTGTTGGGCATTTAAAATGTGCTCAGTAAATGTTTGCTGAATAAATAAACTTCAAAGAATTCAGAGCAAGGAATTCTCAGCAACTAGTATCGTTATTCATCACCTATCTGTCAGTTTGTTGAATTGTGATGGCTTACATGTTGCTGTGATGCTGGAAGCTATGTCACTGGTGATACCAGTAAGGTCACCCATGGTGGACAGATTTCAGAGAAACTTCCAGATTAAAACAGTTTAGGAAAAAAGGCCTGGTGATCTACTTCCAAAAATTAGCCAATGAAAGCCTTATGGATCACGACAAAACACTTTCCGACTAGCTTGTTTTGGACACGTCATCAGAAGGGAGCAATTGCTGGAAAAGGACATTGTGTTTGATTATGCGTGTAGCCCCAAAGGGCAAGGGAGATTAGTTGTATGTCAACTTGGCTGGGCTTGGTTGAGTGGCTTGGCAGCCGGTGGTAGTTATTCCCCATGAAGAGACTGGCAATCAACTGTATGGTAGGATCTACCACAAGCAGCTGAGTAGCTGCCTTAGGGATGTGGTCTGCTTCCTGTATATAAACAGCAGCTTTGGGAACGGTCTCTAGCTTATGGCATGCTTGAACCCTCCACATAGTCAAGTCGTTGTTCAGCAGCCTGCCAGGCTCTGCCGATCTTGGGACTTTTAATGGACTTGAATTAATGGCCTGCTGTGTGGTTTGGGACTGTGCCTTATTACTTGTCAACCTTGGGCTTGTCAATTTCAGTAGCCAGCAGCTGTCTGAGTAATGAAAAGCCTCTAGCTCCAGTGGGCTGGGAGCAGGAGGCAGAGCTGAAGCCAAGGTTGAGGGGCTTTCACCCAAGTCCCTAGAGCTTGGGTGAATTCGGACTTAAAGCCTCCAAACTGTAAGAGAATAAACTCCTGTTTGTTGAAGCCATCGCATTTGTGGTAAATTCTTGTCAGAGTGACACTAGGTAACCAGAAAAGACACATCATCGGAAGGAAGCAATTGCTAGAAAAGGACATTGTGTTTGGTTAAGTGTATAGCCCATGAGGGCAAGGGAGACCTCAGTGAGCGGACTGGAACTAGCCATAATGATGGACTCAAACATGTCAAAGATTGGGAGAATGATGCAGGGCTGGGCAACATTTCTTTTATTGTATATAAGGGTGCCATGAATTGGAATTGACTCTGTGTCTGTCTGTCTATCTGTCCATCCATCCATCTAATATTGTGATGGAAGTAGGCAATCCCTTGAATGCTAAAGAAAGGAAATATATTCTTCTTTGGTAGGAACAATCTGTAATGCCCTACAAATATACACAAGGCCAATGACAAGGAAGGGAATTTAATATACACATGCCAGGCCCTTCATGCATGTTTACTCTAACCACACACCATCACTGACAAGCAGGATTTGTACATAAAACTAAGGGCCAGACAGACTAAGTAACACTACCAGTTACACAGGTAATAAATGGCAGAGTAGGGATATGAACAAGTGTCTGACTCCAAAGTGTGTGCTCTTTAACTAAGCTGCTCCAACTAATGCCATCAGCAGCACTAAGAAAGCAATTCTTTACTTCTTCACCCAGCAGGGGCACTGAGCCTACTTCTCCTATATTTCCACTTCATGTCTTCCCTACCCATTCCTCAGGACCAAGGAAAACTAGAAAAACAGTTGTGGAAAGTAGAAAAGAAATGAAACAGAGGACTACTACCCACAATACGTAACACTCACCTACAAAGACAAAACAAAAAAACAAAACAAAACCCAAAGTAGAACAAAGGTTACAAATAGGCACCTTATAGAAGAAAACCCAAATGACCAATAAATATATGAAAAGATACTCAGTGTCCGTAAAAATGAGGACAATGCAAATAAAAACATAATGACATATTCTCACACTATCGGTTGGGTAGTAGGCAATTTGAATGAAGTAGGATAGTGCCAGTGGAAGTAGAATATTGAGGAGACATTTGAAGGTCAGACTTCATAGGATTTGCCAACTAATTTTTCAATGAGTGGCGAGTGAAAAAGAAGGAGGTGCTAAAAATTATTCTTAGATTTCCAAGGATGACTAAAGGGCAATGATGCCATGAATAGAAACAGGGAAGTTATAAGCAGGGAAAGATCATGAGGTTTAGACATGACCACTCCCTGAAGGAGAGCAGAAATGAATTGCTGATATTGAGTAATAGCAGCTGAGACATGTCTCAAAGTTTTCCACAGCAGCTGCTATTTCACTACCACGCTCTGCTGCATTATTGCCAGAGTGCCCCTGAGAAGGGAATAGGCCAATAAAAAAAAAAACATGAGTATGGCCTGGTGATTGTTTTTGTACTTAGATTTTTGAGCAATATGTGCAACTTACAACTTTTTAGGATTTCAGCAGATTCTTTGACTCCAAGTCTACTCTTTAACAGATTCTGCTTTGGGACAAAGGTGGTCTCCACTGGTACTACAAGCTTTTCTTGCTGAACAGCCGGGCTCTATCTAAAACTGCACAAGACTTGGCCAGCTGTCTGCCTGTTGTGAACAAGCATTTTGTTTTCTGTTCCCTAATTATAGTAGGTGATGTCCTGGCTAGGCCTGGTTGGGGAGTAAGAAATGCAGAAGGTGCCAGGATTCCATGTGCTTCCAACCCAAAGGATACTATTTGTGTGTCAGATTGGACAGATTTAAAAACTAATACCATCCCATTCTCTAGGCTAGCATGAAACCCAAACATTTATAAGTATTTCATATTTTAAAAAAAGATATTTATCTTCATCAGAAGGCTGGTGGATCAAACCACCAGCCACTCCTCAGAAGGAAGATGGGGCAATCTACTTCCATAGTGATACTGCCTTGGAAACCCAAGGAAGGGTCACTATGAGTTGGGTCTGACTTGATGGCAGTGAGTTAGTGAGTTATCTTCAATTCTTAGACCTTAACGTTAAAAAAAAAAAAAAAAAAAGAAAAGAAAGAAAATCCTAGTAATTAACCCATACCATCTCTAGGTTGATTTTGTGTTTAACATAGAAAAAATTTCCAACCTTGCCTACAGATGCCATGCTTCAATATGAATTCCTTCATGACTTGGTTTAGAAAAGAAGTTTAGAAACTCCTTGGTATTCAATATTTCAGTTGGTACATGCCAAATAACATTTAATGAAGCAAAACAAAGCTAACTTTACTCATTTGTATTTCATGTTTCTTCCAAAGTAAGTATCATTGCATTACAATGTTCTGACTCATGGCAACCTCATGTGTTAGGGCAAAACTGCAACATAAGATTTTCTAATGGCTGATTTCTTGGAAGCAGGTAACCAGGTCTCTTGATTATCCATGGGTGGACTCAAACCTCAAGCTTTTTGGTTAGCAGCTGAGAGCATTAACAATTTACACCACGCAGGGCTTGCACTATAATGTAAAGCTACCAAATACTGGGCATTAATGGTTGCTGTTCCAATTGAACCTGTGATTCACTAAACCTTGCTTTAAGGATTAGGGCAAAAACAAAGTAGTTGTCAGATAGGAAAGGAAAGACATGCTGAAAGGAGAAGAAAATAAGAAATGTTAACTAGGTTCAACTTTTGGGACATTTCTGGATTGCCTATCTTCTTCTCTTCTTTGACTCTCCAGCTGACTTCTAAAAATGGCACAAGTGTACAGGTTTCTCACGTTGCGCTGTAGTAAGATATTGTAGAGGTAAAGGTGCATTGGTGAGCTTATTAACAAGGCCTATGACTGGATTCTGAGAAGCAGTGAATCAGAGGGCTTCCAAGTACAACTCTGGAGTCAGACTTGGTTCAAATTCCCAGTCCAACTTCCTAGGTGTGTCACTGTGAGCGCGTTAAATTTGAAACTTTGATTTTTTGTCTACCAGATAGGGACAATTATACCTGCCTCCTATGGTTACAATCAGGATTGAATGCAATTTTTCATGTATGGTAAAAATCAGCTTGTGTTAGTTAAAGCTGTCATCTCTGGTCGGAGTCAGTGGTCTCTGGTCCACTCTTTCCTGTCTCCCAACAGGAAGCCCTAGTGGCTGTCTGCCATAGGGCACTAGTACAGAGAATTCTTTCTAACCAAGAAAGAAAAACAAGAGACCAATAAGACCAGGTATTTCAAGGAAAATGAGATTAAAACCTATTTCTTTGTGTAAATAAAAAATATTTTTCTAAATTTACTGTAAGTGGTAGAATTCTTGCCTTCCTTGAGGGAAACCTGGGTTTGATTCCCAGCCAATGCACTTCAAATTCAGCCGCCAGCTGTCTGTCAGTGGAGGCCTGTGTGTTGCTGTGAGGAACAGGTTTCAGCAGAGCTTCCATTCTAAAACAGACTAGGAGGAAAGCCTTGGCAATCTATTTCCAAAAATCAGCCAAAAAAAACCTTATGGATCACAAGGGTCCAATCCTATTGTGCATGGATTGCCATGAATCAGAGGTCAACTTGATGGCAGCTGAAAAAACAACATATTTACTATGCAATCCCCTTGCCTGGGCATTTAGGTTGCCGCCTGCACACCAAAAGTGTTTGAGCATGCAGCCCCTGATTTAGGGTGACTGTTAGACATTACTGCTATTGTTTCCATACACAGAAAAGACATCAGTCACCTTTTCCAATTTCATTATGTTAGCTGTAAGCTCTTGGCAAAGGACCTCCACGTTTAATTGTACTTGTGATCCCAAGCCGGACGGTGCTGTCTGTCTGTAAGAACAAAGAGAGAAATTATTATGGGCAGGGATGGCAAAGGAAGAAGTGGAATGAACACATTTTAAATTTATTTGAACAGAAAGCTAGTTTATAAAAGACAGTAAACAGTTCACTTAACACCAGAAAGGCATTGCAGTAATCTACACACTCCAGATTTAGGGTACAAGCTCTCAAGAGCCAGATGGAAACCCCTTAGGCTATTTTTATTTAAGTGGCCATGTTGATGGCTGGGTTTCCAAATAAAAAAATCACACATTTTCAAGCACACAGTTTCTTAGATTCCTTTTATTAACCCCTACCATCCTCTCTCTTCCCACCACAGCATACATTACTGCTTTGCTCTGTCTCTCCAGACTTTTTCATAGGAGAAAGAGCCATTTACACTAAAACTTTCAGAATGCTCAGGAATGTCTTTATTTAATTAATCAATATTCAATTGAGTGTGAGAGTTTTATAGTTTTTCTGTGAGAAATGCCCTACAAATGTAATTGCCTTTGTCTCATAGCCTCACTGATGTAATCATTATTTACTTTGGCATGGACTTTTCCTCTGGGATCCACTGAGATCCTGTGCCAACTAAAACTGAAGGAAATCTGGAGGTGTGTGTATGTTTTCCTGGAGAGATAGTCTAAAGTTGTTCACAAGAGTTTCATGTGACGTTTAAGAACCATGGATCCGTATCTTCTCTGTATTTCTTAGTTGTAATTTAATTTTAGCTGTTAAGTTTTTTAATGGCAGTAATGGGACTAATTTACTTTACATAGGTTCATTTTTGGGATACAGGCACTTGGTAAACTGTAGATGATTATCTAAATTTGAAGAAAGCAATCAGAATGTTTTCTATTTACTGTTGTTGTTGTTTGCCGTCGAGTCGGCCCCGACTCATAGCGACCCCTCCTTGGGTTTCTGAGGCAGTTATCACTACGGAAGTAGGATTGCCCAAC